CCTCCCAGGCCGAGTGTCAGTCTTGGAGGGGAATTTGCCAGGTTTTTATTCACTAATGGCCCGCCCAATTTTAAAAATATAAAAAACAATTTTAAAACGCTTTGCGCTTAGAACGTAGTCACGCTGGACCTCCATTTGGAAGTGCGCAAGCTAAGTTTGGACCTGGATGTCTCATTCACCGCAGTGTTACTGGTTTTTCCTTCTGGTCTGGGCGTTTCCTGAACCATTCCTAGAGGTGTAGTTGAGTAGGGTTGGAGTGATGAGGGTGGGAGAGGAAGAGGACGGGTTGACGTACTGAGAGGAATAGTTCCATCACAATGCTGAGCCCAGTCGTGAAGTTTGAGGTATAGTTTTCCGCTTGTAGGAGAGACTAGGACCTGAGACTAGCCTCAGAGTGAAAGGATTATCCTTAGTTTTTATTTAATACATCCTAAAATTCTGTGTCCACTTCCCAGCTTTTGTTTTGGATGTTCGCTCTCAGATCAACGTAACTGCCTGGATGACCCACTACTGTCTGGTTTATTCACTGTCAATTCTCTTTTCCACTTTTGTGCGGTTCATTCCCCAAGTTGCTATTCTTTGCTGTCTGACTGACTCCCAGATCACTTCCACTTTCTGATTATATCATGTTTACTAGTCTTTATTACTTTCTCAGTAAGTTATTACTGGGCCTCGTCCCCAATGGATTGGTTGATGTCCATCATTATATGTAGATTTAAGGATGTCAGTTCTGACTAGCAGACGTTTATGACTGGTCTGAGTCATTCACTCCCAACTCTCTCTGTTACCTCCTTGATTACTAGCATCACCAACCCTGCAGGATTGCACTGAATTCTCCAGGAATTAAAGATTGAAATTCCGGGATACAGACCCTTGAGAAATATCAGAGGACAATAAAAAAGATTGTGTTTTCTTTTATTAAATTTGTTTTCAGCGCAGGATGAATTGATGTACTGGACCCGCAACATTCTTCAGTATGTCTTCCAATTAGACATTGGTGGTTTGTTTGCCTTCTGATTGGTGCAGGAAGGTAGGACAATGTGACCAGTGCCAAGACTTTTAAGTTGTTGAAGGATGTGTGTGAATGCTCCAAGCTTATGCCCAATAAGAGCTGCCAACTCAATGGGCTACTCAAGCCCTGTGTTATGTCCTGTTCAGTTGATTTCCAGCTCTGTATTATTCCCTGTGTAACTCATTCCTGAGCCCTGCTTACTTTCTGAGTAATTCACTCCTTGGTATCCATTCTCTGAAGAAATGTGTAATTTGCAGAAAGCTCCGTGGTGATAGAGTTATTGGTTAGCATTTTAAGTGCACATTTTCCAGTCATATTTCCAATATTCAGCCGATCTCATGAATATGGATAGTGTTTGTGCTTGGCGCCTCTGCAGTGTTTCTGTACATTGATAATTTCACAAGGAAGAATGAAGTACTTTCTGTATAATGGCCCTGATAAATGAATTGAAATGGAAATGAGTAGGGCCAGTGGTTTAATCTGCAGTGATTGACAGTCATGGGTAGAAAACAAAACAGGCAATCCCCAACCTCATTACCATGTCCGGCTTTGCCTCGCTCACAATTGAAGAAACATCTCTGCGAGGCCTTACAGTGAGGATTTTTCTTGTGATGTCTCTGTTAGCAACATTGGCCCAGAAATTAACCTGCACAGCGCATGTATTATTCTCAGGTGTTGTGCGTGACCTCTTAAATACCAAAAAATGGCAAGCAGAAAGGGTGTGGTACACCTTCAAATGCTTGCTGCTGAATGTTGAGGCCCGAGACTGAAAGTGTCAGTATTGTGGAGAGCTCAGCCTCTGCAAAAGGGGAAGTCAGTACACCAGACAACAACGCCACCCTTGTCGGCAGGTTTGAATGCAAACTCAGGGTTAAACCAGAGGGAACAGGAGATCAATCCTGGTCCGACGAAGAGTGCAGGAGGGCATGCCAGGCACAGCTAAAAATAACAACTTGTTGGAGCCATAACACAGGACTATGTACATGCCAGCCATTGTGGAAGCAGCAAACAATATACAGGAGCCAGCCATCCCATCACCAATGGATCAAAGGGGCAAGCATCTTTTTTTTATATCTTTCATAGGATGTGGCCTTCACCTGCAAGATCAGTATTTCTTACCCATTCCTAATTGACCTTGAACTGAGGGGCTTGCTCGGCCATTTCAGAGGGCAGTTAAGAATGAAGCGCATTGCTGTGGAAATGTTTCGGAAAGGAGCTTTATCCCAGCCTGGGATATGGGGAGAAAAGTATTTAAGAAGTTTACTGGCTTGATAGACAGAACTGACTTTGGGACTGGAGCCTTAAAGTTACCTCTGTCAGGATGGAATTTGAAACAATCTGTTGCAGTAAATTCCTGAGGTTCCACAGCACTGGCTTGGCTCTCCTGAGAACACCAGCCCCAGCACCGCCCATTGTTTTGAATGTGAATAGGAGATATATCTGCCTCTCAGCGGAGATACAGTTCTCATAGAATACTTAGCGGGGTAAGTGGAAATTCTTCGGACTTCCCTTTAATCCATTGCCATGCACTCTTCTGTAATGCATGGGAAAATGCTGTTTCCAAGATTGGTCACTGAGATATTGGAGACTGAGGCTGAGGGTTTGCCCAGGCTGCTGTGTCTACTGTGGTATGTGCAGCTAAACTGAGTCTGCAGCTAAACCATGTGCTAGTTTTGCTGCCATCATCCGCTTTACCAAGTGGTCTATTGTAGTGCAGGAAAACCTCTTTCTGGTCTAACGAGAAGAGGCTCTTGTATTGAACAAGAAGTAGTTTATTGCATGTTAGGAGCCAGATACAAGTTGCACTGATATGATTGTTACAGAGGCTAGAGGAAGGTCCTGGATTTTAGGCTCCTTCAAGATCCTAAACTGGTATTTCCCAAAGTTTCCGCCTCATTTTCAGGCTTGAAAATTCTTGTGAACTCTAAGTAGGAACTTGTTAGAGTGGGAGTGCAGCTGAGGCAGCCAATACTGCCTCAGAGCCCATAGCCCCAACATTTCAGCTCATAACTCTACTGGAGCTCTCAACTTCCATTTTAGAAAGACCTATCACACAACTATTATGGGACAAAAGAAGACCATTCAGCCCATTGTGGCTCTCTAGGCATTTTACTTGAGTCCCCAACTCCTCCCTTTTCCCCTAATTTGATCAATCATTTAATGTCTCTTTAATATCTCAGTTGAACCTGCCTCCAGCACGTTCCAGGCAGTGCATTCCAAACCTGTGTGCAAACACTTTCTCTCACCTCACATTTGCAAAACTCTTGAAAGCCATGCTGTCTTGTTCTCGACCCTTTTACAGAAATTTCTCCCTATCTGCTGCTCTACAATAATCCCTTCTGCCGAAAACAAAGAACTGTGGGTGCTGGAAATCGGAAACAATAACAGAAATTGCTGGAGAAACTCAACAGGTCTGGCAGCATCTGTGAAGAGAAAGCTGAGACAACATTTCGGGTCCAGTGACCCTTTATCAGAACCATTCTGAAGAAGGGTCACTGGACCCGAAGCGTTGTCCTTGCTTTCTCTCCACAAATGCTGCCAGACCTGCTGAGTTTCTCCAGCACTAATCCTTTCTGACCTTTCAAGTCCATATACAACATATAAATGCACACTCTGTGTGACCTGAATGATTGAGAAAGCAGTGAAAGTATAGGCCTGTAGCTTGCTGTTAACTTACAGCCACTCAGTTTGATAAGGCAAGGGATCTGGTTTTGTGCTTTGAATTCCATATTATCCAGTGGAACATAGTCCTTTACAATAACACTGAAAAGGAATGAGTCTCTTCGGTTCTGTTTCCATGCTAATCGCTCTTGTTGCCTCATTCTGAAAGGTTCTGTGTCACTGGTAGATATTTATTTTGAGGGGTGGTTCTGCACTGTCGTTAGAGCCTCACTCTGAAAGATCTAAGAATTGTCAGCAGCCATTTTCCCATAAGCTTGCAGTAATGTAGTGTTTTTCTCAACGTCAGGAGGTCCAAAGCCCTTAGCAGCCAGCAATGCATTCCAACTTGTAGGAAATGCAGCAAACAGCTTGTATATAGCAAGATCCCAGGAGCCTTCAAATTTGGTTGAATATCTATGACTCAGGAACAGGCAGGGGTCCTGCATGGATAGAAAGGAGCATGTCTGGACAATCTGGGCCCTCTAGCCTGTTCCATCATTCAATTTAATCAAGGTTGGTCATACCTTAACTCTGCTGTTCGGAAGAGAGCGGAATAATTCCATGGCCTGCTATAGGAAAGATGTTGTGAAACTTGAAAGAGTTCAGAAAAGATTTACAAGCATGTTGCCAGGGTCGGAGGGTTTGAGCTACAGGGAGAGGCTGTATAGGCTGGGGCTATTTTCCCTGGAGCGTCGGAGGCTGAGGGGTGACCTTATAGAGGTTTATAAAATCATGAGGGGCATGGATAGGGTGAATAGCCAAGGTCTTTTTCCCCAGGGTGGGGGAGTCCAAAACTAGAGGGCATAGGTTTAAGGTGAAAGGGGAAAGATTTAAAAGAGGGGGGAAGATTTAAAAGCGACCTAAGAGGCAATGTTTTCACACAGGGTGGTGCGTGTATGGAATGAGGTGCCAGAGGAAATGGTGGAGGCTGGTACAATTACAACGTTTAAAAGGCATCTGGATGGGTATGTGAATAGGAAGGATTTAGAGGGATATGGGACTAGATTAATTTAGGATACCTGGTCGGCTTGGACAAGTTGGACCGAAGGGTCTGTTTCTGTGCTGTACATCTTTATGACTCTATGACTCTATGATTCTTACTGAGTGTCTGCAGTGATGATATAGAGCGGTATTGGCTGCGGAGGGTCTGGGGGAGGTATGGGTGTGCAGTAGGAGGAGGGGATTGATGATCAGAGACTAGGCATGAGGCCTTGAGGTGCCTGGACTAGCCTTGTGCTAATCTGAGGACCATAAAGAGTTAGCGTCATGCTGGTACCTGTTAACTTCTGCTGTACATTTCAGTCGCTCTCTTTTATTCTACACACAGGCTACCCCAACGGACAGGCTGCAGAAACTGTCTTGAAGACTGTCAGAGAGTTTCTAGAAGAACACAGGAACTCGGTAAGTTCCTTGACAACCCCACAACTAACATTTCAATCCAAGGCAGTTCCGAGCTTTCCCGGGGACCACTCCAGCTGGCTTTGACCACGAATAAACGTCCAGTTTTGGACTCACAGACACTGAGTGGGCTATTTGCAGGGAGAGGAAACTACTTGCATTCTGCTTCCCTCAACCAGGGCAACGCTGACAATCCAGCCTGTGCTCTGGTTTCCCTGTCCATCCTGCCTGAGACGAGCTACACCTCACAATGTGTGGAGGAAAAGGAGCATTGGAAGTGAGAAATATGTTTGCTGGCCTCACACTGGTGATGGTCCAGGGTGCTCGGTGTTGCTCTGTTCAGCTTTATCAAGCGACAAGCGGTTAAAGATTGGAATGCAGTGCCGAAGAGTACAGGCTGCACATTCAATTGATGCAATCAAAGAGAAGTTAGTCCGTTAGGGTTGTGGGGAGCAGGTTAGATAATGGCATCAAGCAAAATGCTCATTCAGAGAGCCAGTGCAAACACGCTGGGCCGAATGAATTGTGTCATTCAAAGCAGCTTAAATCGCAGCTCTGTTGATGAAATGCAATCTGCCTTGGAAGAGGCATATCTGGCCTAGGCTTCTGCCCCTTCTCATTAACTTGCAGCTATTGTATGAGGATGAATTCAGGATTGGTTGCGCTGCTTCCCCAGGTGGAACAGCCCCAGGCTTAAGCAACAGAAACCATCAGGAAAAATGCCAAAAGACAGCTAGTGGATACGTGACATGGTTTGAATCAGGAGGAAGCGGGACTGCCTCTCTGTTAAGCACCCAGTGTAATACCCTGTTAGGTTTGGATTGTAGCATATTGACACCAATGCACTGATCCCTGAGTACAAAGCTGGGAAACTGACTTTATAACTTAAGTCACAACGATCACTGGCCAGGTCACACATGGACTTGTCAGGGTGACCTCAAGGATCCTTCCTCTCTCTCCCTTTCCTTGAGAAATGGTCATCAGCTGTTGGCAATCTAAATTTGGGAGCACGGCCAAAACCAATCAAAGGCTTTTAAAAACAAAAAGAAGCTTTAGCCTGAGTAGAACTGTCCAGCATTGATTCCAAATAATAGAGGATAAAAAGAGAGCTAATCTAATCTCATCCACTTTATGATATCTAAATCCCTCTTGATTAAATTACAGGCATATTACTCACTCCCTGCTCACTGTTATTGTACATATATAATTCACAGATGTATGTTCTGTGTTTATTGCTGTGGATTCTAGCCATCAGAGACTGAAATTACCTTCCAGTTCTGTACTACAAGTGGAGATTATACTCATAGTTCTGCTGTGAATCCAGCCCTTTCCTTTATCCTTTGGGTAGTGAAGACTTTATTAACCCCTCTGGTGATTTCAAGATTGTGGGAGAATGGGATGAGTGATATGAGACCTTTTTAACCAGGTGGTTATGTTGGTAAGGACAGGTATACTAACATGACATTGACGTGTAAATCCTACTGAAACAGTGAACTTTAAAATGTTCGCACTGCATTCACACAGCTTATCTATTTCAGAAAACAAAAAGTGCTGGAAACAACAGAATGTCAGCTCTGATGAAGAGTCATCTAGACTGGAAATGTTTGCTTGCTTTCTCTCCATGGACCCGCTGTGATTTCCAGTACTTTTTGCTTTCAGTACAGATTCCAGCGTCTGCAGTAATTTGCTCCTACAACTGTTGCAGAAATGTTCTAGCAAGGAGATGTGAGGACCTGTGCCCAGTGCCTCCTGCAGTTCAGATGGGGCATCTCACTGGATTTGAATCTGTACTGTCACAGCTTTCTTGTCTCCTGGTTTCCCCACTGCCAAGTGTGAATCAGCTAGGCCAGGTGTCGTAATGCCATTGGTGGTCCCTGCAGAAGGACAGATCCACCATTGGTGTAAAATGGCCCACCATAAAAGCAAGAATGGACCCCACTGACCAGTCACATTTGCAGTCACAGTGGATGCTGGATCAGTTGTTAAAGTTTATCTGTCTCAGATGTAAAATGTTGCTAAGCAAAGGTATTAAGGGAAATGAGCCAGAGGCAGGAATATGGAGTTAGGCCACAAATCAGCCAAGATCTCATTGAATGGCAGAACAGGCTTGAGGGGCAGAATAGCCTACTCCTGTTCCTATATTCCTATGTTGGCTCAGTGGTTGGCCCACTCAAGTCCAATTCCAAGTACAAAATCTGTCCTGACAATCTTAAAAACAGAGAAACTATGTGGAGCAGTTTGGATTTTGGGTCTCTGTAAGCTGAAAAATGTTTATCCAGCTTAATTACACTTTGTAACAATTGGCTGGTAAGATACAGCGCTTCAAATACACAGACACGTATCTTCCAAATACGTTGAGTGTGTCTGCCTCAGCTATCCTTTCGGGCAGTAAAAGTTCCAGATCCCTACTCGTCCCTGTGTGAAAAATGATTCCTCTCAGTTTTAGAAACCTAAATTAAATCTTCCCTCTATTTCCAAAGAAAACAACCCCAGCCTAGCCAATCTTTCCTCATTGTGACAAACAAGTTTGACTCCCGACAATATCTTTGTATATTTACTCTTTGCATTTTCCTATAACCGCTTCCTTTCTTTATTGACCTAGTACAGTACACAGCCCTCTGGCTACGGCTTAACTATTGCTTTGTACTGAGGCAGGGTGCCACTGCCAGAGATGCCATTAAAGCTAGGCCCAATCTGCCCTCTCAGGTGCAGTTAAAAGATCCCACAGCACTTGGTTGGGAGGATGTAGGGGAAGGAGTTGAAGAGTTCTCACTGCTGTTCCAGGAACAATAGTTACCCCTCAGCCAACATGCCTAAGGCCCAGTCATTGTGCTGTTGCTGTGCATGGACCTTGTATGCTTGGATTGGCTATACGCACACAACACAACCACATCTATGTTTCATACAATACACATTCACTGGCACTTTGGGCCATTCTGAAGTGGGGAAAAAAAAATGCAGTACAAAATTCAAATTCTGTCTTTCTTCCAGCCAGCGCTTAGACAGACAGGAAAAGCATTCCAGCTGCGGTATGTCCTATTTTCAGATGCCATGACATTGCTTCATTTATGTCATAGAACTGCTGTGAGGCTGTAATAGTGAATCATACAAAGGACCTTTCAAGCTGAATCTGGCCCATGCGAGGTCCATCGCAGTGACAGGGTAACACTGGAGTGTTAAAATGTGAATGCACCCCTTAAACTAATGAGGTTTATAAAACCATGAGGGGCACGGATAGGGTGAATAGTCATTTCCCCCAGGGGTAGGGGGGAGTCCAAAACTAGAGGGACATAAGTTTAAAGTGAGAGGGGAAAGATTTAAAAGGGACCTAACGGGCAACTTTTTCATGCAGAGGGTGGTGCATGTATAGAATGAAGTGGTGGAGGCTGGTACAATTACAACATTTGAAAGGCATCTGGATGGGTACATGAATAGGAAGAGTTTAAAGGGATAAATTTAGATTAATTTAGGATATCTGGTCGGCATGGACGAGTTGAATAGAAGGGCCTGTTTCCGTGCTGTACATCTCTAGGACTCCAATGACCTCCACCACCTAGAAACGGGACCAGGGCAGCAGATACATGGAAACACCGCCCCCTACAGTTTCTCCTTCAAGCCGTACGCCGTTCTAACTTGGAAAAATAACACCGTTCCGAACTTGCAGCAGGTTAATAAGGCACCAATGTGGCAAGGGGCATTTAGGGATGGGTAACAAATGCTGGTGCAGTCGGCGAATGCCACATCTCCTGAATGAATAAATCTCCAAGCAACCATTACAAGATCACTGGATACAGTCAAGAGGTGGACAGAGAGCCTCCGCGGTAGGTCTGGTAACCTACCTAGTGGATGGAAAGCTGCAAGGACATCCCACACACATCTGTTGAGAGCACTGCACTTTTCACAGCTCAGGGATCAGCCTGTTCCCCTGCTGGACTTCTCCGCAGTAACTCGAAGAGAGAAGAATCCCTATTCTTAACCGAAAGAACTGCGGATGCTGTAAATCAGAACAAAAACAAAGTTGCTGGAGAAGTTCAGCAGGTCTGGCAACATCTGTGAAGGGAAAAACAGAGTTAACGTTTCGGGTCTGCTGCCAGATCTGCTGAGCTTCTCCAGCAACTTTGTTTTTGTTCCCTATTCTTAACCATTCGCCTGAGAAGGAAATTGCCTGTATGTATGTGTGCATCAGGAAAGGACACTAACACGCACAGCAAAGGTGCCTCTAGTGCTGACATGGTCTGCGTGTTAAATGGTCATTTTGGCAAGGTGCAGGAGGGCTGCACTGCCAATGGACATACCGTGGGCATCAATCAAAATCTTTAGGAGAAAAGGAAAAATCACTGGGGAAAAGAAATACAATCTTGTCCTTCTGGATTCAAATGGAGCTCTAAATAAGACTGCCGATATGATTGATGGGGCAGCAGCATGGATATAACAACACAGATACAGCTCTATATAGCCACACATTCTGTCAGCTTTTGAGTAGAGTGTTTCTCATTATCAAACTGTGAAAATAGCTTTCTTTTTCAGGAAGGCTTTATTTAGATACACCCAGCAAATCTGATTTGGTGATGAGCACTTGCACCAAAGAAATATATATTTTGAGAAGATTTGCAGAATCTTTGTAACACCCAAAATCTTTGCCGCCTTTACCTGGAGCTGATCTGAGATTTGTATCACTTCTGTATGCTAAGTGCTTCCTTCCAGTGGTCTGAACTTTGCCTTTCACAGTTTGTGTCTTTAGATGGGCGCGCAGCATAATGACTGTGGTACTGGGCCAATGATCCTGGGCCATGACCCCAACATGACAAGTAGCTAAATATGTTCAATAAATATTTATTCATGGGATGTGAGCATCACCCGTCCCCACTTGCCCCTTGCGAAGGTCACATCCCCTAAATGAATAAAATCTCCAAACGACCATTACAAAATCAGCAGCCTCTGGATACAGTGACAAGGTGCGGCCTTGAACCGCTCCAGTCTGTGCGATTTAGGGATCCCAAGGT